TAGACAAATTACAAAAAATATTAGCACTTAAACTCTATAGTAATGGTCACAAGTGCTAGTGTCCAGCCTTGCTCCTAGACAGTAACACCTCCCAGCTCTTCCTCAGATCCCCAGCAGAGTGGCAAGCAGCTTTGATATCCTGCCGCATCTAGCAAGCTGTCTGAGCCCAAGGCCCCTGTTCCCACTAGCAGCAGCTGCCCAGGGATAAAGGCCAAATTCCTGAGGACTGCTAGGCCATCAGGACAAGGCCAGTTGTTAACAACAGCTTGGGCCTGCCTCTTCTACTCTCATGTCTGCACCCTTCTCTGTCCTGCCTTCACCTAACAAATGTACTTTTATTTTCTCCATCTGCCCATGCCCCACAGATATTACCTTTTATATCACCTGACCCTCCCTTTTAGACTGTCAACTCTAACAATCAGGGCCTCCTGATTCCTCTTGTATGGAAACTGTAGGGTCTGTCCTCAAGCACTGTGCAAACTGTTGGTGCTGTATAAAAATTTTAAAATGAACACTTTTGAACGTGGAAGTGTGCCACTTCTGTACTACGCACTGCCCAGCCACTGTACATAGAGATGTAAAAACTCTATCCAGCTCAGGGGGCAGACTCGGCATCCTTGTTGGAGTGCATTAGGCCCTTTCCCCAACACAGCCATGTATGAGAGGGGTCAGCTAATAATGGTATCTTCCACTCATCCTACCAGTCCATCTCCCACAGTTACTACCTTTTGTACCACAAGCCCTTCCCTCTTAGATTGTAAGCTCCAAGGAGCAGGGCCCTCCTAACCCTCTTGTATTGAACTGTATTGTTGCTGTATTGTCTCCCGTTATATTGTAAAGCCCTGAGCAAACTGTTGGCGCTATATAAATCCTGTATAATAATACTACACAGAGGGGGTCGGAGGTCTCCTGTACTGAGTAGCAGTGCAGCATACAGCCGGTTCCTATACAGAGAGGTCAGAGGTCTCCTGCACAGAGTAGCAGTGCAGCGTACAGCCGGTTTCTATACACAGAGGTCAGAGGTCTCCTGTACAGAGTAGCACTGCAGCGTACAGCCGGTTCCTATACACAGAGAGGTCAGAGGTCTCCTGTACAGAGTAGCAGTGCAGCGTACATCCAGTTCCTATACACAGAGAGGTCAGAGGTCTCCTGTACAGAGTAGCAGCGCAGCGTACAGCCGGTTCCTATACAGAGAGGTCTCCTGTACAGAGTAGCAGCGCAGCGTACAGCCGGTTCCTATACAGAGGTCTCCTGTACAGAGTAGCAGCGCAGCGTACAGCAGGTTCCTATACAGAGAGGTCTCCTGTACAGAGTAGCAGCGCAGCGTACAGCCAGTTCCTATACAGAGAGGTCAGAGGTCTCCTGTACAGAGTAGCAGCGCAGCGTACAGCCGGTTCCTATACAGAGAGGTCTCCTGTACAGAGTAGCAGCGCAGTGTACAGCAGGTTCCTATACAGAGAGGTCTCCTGTACAGAGTAGCAGCGCAGCGTACAGCAGGTTCCTATACAGAGAGGTCTCCTGTACAGAGTAGCAGCGCAGCGTACAGCCAGTTCCTATACAGAGGGGTCAGAGGTCTCCTGTACAGTAGTAGTGCAGCGTACAGCCGGTTCCTATACAGAGGGGTCAGAGGTCTCCTGTACAGAGTAGCAGCGCAGCGTACAGCCGGTTCCTATACAGAGGGGTCAGAGGTCTCCTGTACAGAGTAGCAGCGCAGCGTACAGCCGGGTTCCTATACAGAGGGGTCAGAGGTCTCCTGTACAGAGTAGCAGCGCAGCGTACAGCCGGTTCCTATACAGAGGGGTCAGAGGTCTCCTGTACAGAGTAGCAGCGCAGCGTACAGCCGGTTCCTATACAGAGGGGTCAGAGGTCTCCTGTACAGAGTAGCAGCGCAGCGTACAGCCGGTTCCTATACAGAGGGGTCAGAGGTCTCCTGTACAGAGTAGCAGCGCAGCGTACAGCCGGTTCCTATACAGAGGGGTCAGAGGTCTCCTGTACAGAGTAGCAGCGCAGCGTACAGCCGGTTCCTATACAGAGGGGTCAGAGGTCTCCTGTACAGAGTAGTGCAGCGTACAGCCGGTTCCTATACAGAGGGGTCAGAGGTCTCCTGTACAGAGTAGTGCAGCGTACAGAGGTTCCTATACAGAGGGGTCAGAGGTCTCCTGTACAGAGTAGCAGCGCAGCGTACAGCCGGTTCCTATACAGAGGGGTCAGAGGTCTCCTGTACAGAGTAGCAGCAGCGTACAGCCGGTTCCTATACAGAGGGGTCAGAGGTCTCCTGTACAGAGTAGCAGCGCAGCGTACAGCCGGTTCCTATACAGAGGGGTCAGAGGTCTCCTGTACAGAGTAGCAGTGCAGCGTACAGCCGGTTCCTATACAGAGGGGTCAGAGGTCTCCTGTACAGAGTAGCAGCGCAGCGTACAGCCGGTTCCTATACAGAGGGGTCAGAGGTCTCCTGTACAGAGTAGCAGCGCAGCGTACAGCCGGTTCCTATACAGAGGGGTCAGAGGTCTCCTGTACAGAGTAGCAGCGCAGCGTACAGCCGGTTCCTATACAGAGGGGTCAGAGGTCTCCTGTACAGAGTAGTGCAGCGTACAGTCGGTTCCTATACAGAGGGGTCAGAGGTCTCCTGTACAGAGTAGCAGCGCAGCGTACAGCCGGTTCCTATACAGAGGGGTCAGAGGTCTCCTGTACAGAGTAGCAGCGCAGCGTACAGCCGGTTCCTATACAGAGGGGTCAGAGGTCTCCTGTACAGAGTAGTGCAGCGTACAGCCAGTTCCTATACAGAGGGGTCAGAGGTCTCCTGTACAGAGTAGCAGCGCAGCGTACAGCCAGCCGGTTCCTATACAGACAGAGGGGTCAGAGGTCTCCTGTACAGAGTAGCAGCGCAGCGTACAGCCGGTTCCTATACAGAGGGGTCAGAGGTCTCCTGTACAGAGTAGCAGCGCAGCGTACAGCCGGTTCCTATACAGAGGGGTCAGAGGTCTCCTGTACAGAGTAGTGCAGCGTACAGCCGGTTCCTATACAGAGGGGTCAGAGGTCTCCTGTACAGAGTAGCAGCGCAGCGTACAGCCGGTTCCTATACAGAGGGGTCAGAGGTCTCCTGTACAGTGCAGCGTACAGCCGGTTCCTATACAGAGGGGTCAGAGGTCTCCTGTACAGAGTAGTGCAGCGTACAGCGGTTCCTATACAGAGGGGTCAGAGGTCTCCTGTACAGAGTAGCAGCGCAGCGTACAGCCGGTTCCTATACAGAGGGGTCAGAGGTCTCCTGTACAGAGTAGCAGCGCAGCGTACAGCCGGTTCCTATACAGAGGGGTCAGAGGTCTCCTGTACAGAGTAGTGCAGCGTACAGCCGGTTCCTATACAGAGGGGTCAGAGGTCTCCTGTACAGAGTAGCAGCGCAGCGTACAGCCGGTTCCTATACAGAGGGTCAGAGGTCTCCTGTACAGAGTAGCAGCGCAGCGTACAGCCGGTTCCTATACAGAGGGTCAGAGGTCTCCTGTACAGAGTACAGCGTACAGCCAGTTCCTATACAGAGGGGTCAGAGGTCTCCTGTACAGAGTAGCAGCGCAGCGTACAGCCGGTTCCTATACAGAGGGGTCAGAGGTCTGTACAGAGGTACAGCCGGTTCCTATACAGAGGGGTCAGAGGTCTAGCAGCGCAGCGTACAGCCGGTTCCTATACAGAGAGGTCAGAGGTCTCCTGTACAGAGTAGCAGCGCAGCGTACAGCCGGTTCCTATACAGAGGGTCAGAGGTCTCCTGTACAGAGTAGCAGCGCAGCGTACAGCCGGTTCCTATACAGAGAGAGGTCTCCTGTACAGATAGTAGTGCAGCGTACAGCCGGTTCCTATACAGAGGGGTCAGAGGTCTCCTGTACAGAGTAGCAGTGCAGCGTACAGCCGGTTCCTATACAGAGGGGAGAGGTCTCCTGTACAGAGTAGCAGCGCAGCGTACAGCCGGTTCCTATACAGAGGGGAGAGGTCTCCTGTACAGAGTAGCAGCGCAGCGTACAGCCGGTTCCTATACAGAGAGGTCTCCTGTACAGAGTAGCAGCGCAGCGTACAGCCGGTTCCTATACAGAGAGAGGTCTCCTGTACAGAGTAGCAGCGCAGCGTACAGCCGGTTCCTATACAGAGAGAGGTCTCCTGTACAGAGTAGCAGCGCAGCGTACAGCCGGTTCCTATACAGAGGGGTCAGAGGTCTCCTGTACAGAGTAGCAGCGCAGCGTACAGCCGGTTCCTATACAGAGAGAGGTCTCCTGTACAGAGTAGCAGCGCAGCGTACAGCCTGGTTCCTATACAGGGAGAGTCAGAGGTCTCCTGTACAGAGTAGCAGTGCAGCGTACAGCCAGTTCCTATACAGAGGGGTCAGAGGTCTCCTGTACAGAGTAGTGCAGTACAGCTGGTTCCTATACAGAGGGGTCAGAGGTCTCCTGTACAGAGTAGCAGCGCAGCGTACAGCCGGTTCCTATACAGAGAGAGGTCAGGTCTCCTGTACAGAGTAGCAGCGCAGCGTACAGCCGGTTCCTATACAGAGAGAGGTCTCCTGTACAGAGTAGTAGCGCAGCGTACAGCCGGTTCCTATACAGAGAGTCAGAGGTCTCCTGTACAGAGTAGCAGCGCAGCGTACAGCCGGTTCCTATACAGAGAGGTCTCCTGTACAGAGTAGTAGTGCAGCGTACACTTGGTTCCAGTCGGAGCGGTCAGTCTCCCTGTAGAGTCCAGTACAGCCGTGTACCGGTGTCGGCTCCCCGTGCAGCTCACACAGCCATGAACCGTTGCATCCTAACGGCTCAGCTCTCATTGCCTCCAGGTACTTTGCGCCATCCTCGGTATTCTCTGCATGACGTCACTTGTTTTTTGTGCCTGTGGACCAATCGTGAGTTCGGGAGGCGTGGCCGGGCGCCGGTGGCGGGAAGTTTTCGGGGTGCTGTATTGTAGGGAAGGCTCCTCGGTCAAAGTACAGCCGGCCCGGGTAGTGCCGGAGCTCCGTGTCGCCCGTCATGGACAACTTCCAGAAGGTGGAGAAGATCGGGGAGGGCACGTACGGGGTGGTGTACAAAGCTCGGAACCGGGAGACTGGAGAGGTGGTGGCGCTGAAGAAGATCCGCCTGGACACGTGAGTCCCGGGGGGAAGGGGGAGCACACGACCCAGCATGGCCCAGGGCTGAGCCTTCCGTCCTCTTGGGACAGGCTCTGATTGTAATGCACAGCATGTGTGACTTCCCAGGCTGGCCCGGATCAGTGGGACTGGGGGCCCACCATACACATACACTGTACAGCCAGTAGGGGAACTTATAGGAACTGGACAAGCTGTGTATGGCAGCCAATCAGCTTCTTTCTTCAACTGGTTCTGGTAAGCTTTGTAAACAAAAGGTAGAGGCTGATTGGTTACCATGCACAGCTGCTGCAGTTCTGATACACTCCCTCCAATGTATTCTAATGGGAGCACCAGAGCATTGATCAGTGTGTGCTGCCCTATGCTGGAGAACAGTAGGCCCTTTTTCTTTTTGTTTGTGCAGCACACGTGGACACAATTCAAAATGATAAAGTATTGCAAATGTTGAAATGCAATGCAGAATGCAAAGACACATTGTGATGTGAATGGGTCTTTTGCTGGGTTCCCGGAGCGTTTTGCACGTGTGCAAAAGGACATGTGACTCACACCAAAACGCAATCGCTGGTCTGTTTTTGATGTGTTTTCCATTCGTTTTAACGGTGAATTGCATTTTTGGCGCTTTTTTTTTTTTTAGCACTGAAAAAAGCAACACACACACGCAACTGACCAATGTAAAGGGGTCCATAGGATTTAATGGTCGTGTTTTTTTTGTTCTGTTTTTTTTTTTTTCACTTAAAAACGGAAGAAAACTGATCAGAAAGCAGCCTTAGACCCCATTCACACTTCGTGATTTGTAATCACAGGAGGAATTGCCACAGTTCTGCCTTCAATTCCAAATTGTGCAGCAATTGCTGCAAAACATACAGTGTACATTTGGGTGCAGTTCATTCTAAGTATATGATTTGTATCTCGTGACAGAATCCCATGGCAATCACAGCAAAATGCGCCTTTAAAAATTGCTTGAAGCTTGTCACCCAAAAAGGAGCTTCTTATGGGCAGGAAATGTCAAAGGGCAGCCTATTCGAGTGAATGGACTACCCTATGCCTGACACACAAGCGCTTGAGAATCATGCTTTGAAAATCATTCCCAGTATGAGTAGTGTGAACAGGACCTTAGAGCTGAGCTCCAGACAGATATAAAAGTCACAAATGAATTCCACTCTGTAATAGATCACCATTCAATGTGATTGGTTTAACCAGTTCCTGACCATGCTATAACCAAAAGTCAGCTACAACGCAGTCGGCTAGTTCTGGGAGGGTGTCCATGGACATACTCCCAGAACTACACCTCCCACGCGCGCTCTGTGATTGCTGTGTCCTTCGAACACAGCTGATCACATGACTATGGAACGGGCCAATCACAGCTGCTTTTACCAAGTGACCAGCTGTGTCCAATCACAGCTGATCTCTGACTAAATAGGAAGTGCCAGTTATTCGCAGTCCTCTCCTCACGCTGACAGCACATGAGAGGAGAGTCGGTAAGCGGCATTACGCAGGGGGACATCTGCACAGATCATCGGTGTCCTGGTGATCAGTGTAGCCCCATCAGTGCAGCCTATAGTGCCCATCACTGCTGGCAATCAGTGCCCATCAGTTGAATCATTGCCGCCCAACATTGCCCATCAGTGCCGCCTATCAGTGCCCATCAGTGAAGGAGAAAAATTACTTACAGTGAAGGAAATAATTATTTGATCCCCTGCTGATTTTGAATTTTTGCCGGTCACGGCGTCAGACCCCAGACTTTCTCACCAAACTCGTGACCGAAGGACTGGCCGATCTAAAACCGCTGTGTGACGTGCGTAACAATGCCACAAACAGCTGCACCCTGCACAACGATTTTCCAGCTAATGGACTACAATCTGTGCCTGCAGCCTGAATGCGCTTGTTACTGGGTCAGGTTAATCACGCAATTAACCATTCAGGCACCACCTCTTTTTGTACCGAGAAAAGAGGAAACTCAGGGTTCAGCTACAACACTATAATGATTGAAATAATTGTCTGTATAAAACGGTCCGCAGGCTGGTTATACAGAGGTTAAAACAAACATTAGCGTTCTCTTAAAAGGCAGGGATTCGTAAATTGCAATCAAAAGCTATAGAAACAGTTCAACACTTTCAGAAAGGAAGATTTATTACTAAAAGGTCAAATGGTGCGATAAAAATATTTACAGAAAAAAGATGTAACTAAATATATATATATATATATATATATATATATATATATATATATATATATATATACACGAACCACAGCACAACAAAGAGATAACAGGGAGAAGTTAAAGGGTTAAGTTACTTGTCATTTAAGCCTTTGATGTAAGCAGATCCAAGTTGCAGAGCGAAAGGGTCTCCCCAGGTGGTATTGATGTTAAAATGGGAGATGTCTTTAACTTACTGAGGCCTGCTAGCCTGTTTTTAAAATGTCCCAGCAGGGGGGTGGCTCTGAGTAACTGACCAATACTCTGTTTAGGGAGGGATCGTCGGGCGGAACCCTAAATTAGAACCAACATCTTTCGTAATTCATATTCTGGTCTATAACTTCTCAGCTGCACGAGTGATAGTCCCCTCGCGGGTATCTTATTACACAGACAAGTCTGAGGATTATTTAGATATGAATTATGAAATTATATGCTGCGCGGTTCACGAGATCTATGTTTCTGCTTCCCTGAGCGTGCGAAACGGAGTGACCTACTAAAAACGATTCGCCTGCTCACGGCCCATCCGACGATATGTCTGGTTTTTATGTATGTCTCTCATATTCCAAGATATGAGACATAGGGTAAAAAGTTATTTGAGGAATGTTCATTTAATTCTGTCACCTATGCTGCTAGGTTTTATGAGGTTTAAACCTCTTTCAATTCCTAGGAAAAGCTGCCTTATCTCTGTTACGAGGTGAGAGATTCCACAGGTTCTTGGGCAGAGCGGCTCTGTCTCTCTTGGGGGGCTTTGTAGCTCTGGGCCCCCTGCTGCTCTAGCCTGCCAGTGACCCACAACCAGATGTCACTGTGGCTGAACCGAGAGGAAAGGGGGGAGGATGAGGGAAAATATATTTCAGGATGGGTAGTCCCTTCGTTAAGATGGAGGTTGAAACCAAAGTGGTTGCACCGCGTCCATCTGGAATGCGCGTTTTTGCGACATTGCCCACTCAGAAAGAAATGATCAGTCTAAAAATTGAATGGTAGGTGTATTGTAACACTGAGAGCCAGAATAGCAACAAAAAATTCAAAAGAAACGCATGTCTAACATATTATGGACTAATTTGCATGTTTATGAGGGAAATAAGTATTTGACCACCTATCATTCAGCAGGATTTCTGGCTACCAGGTGTCTTTCATACAGGTAACAAGCTGAGAGTAGAAGCAGTCTCTTAAAGGGAGCGCTGCTAATCTCATTTTGTTACCTGTTTAAAAGACACCTTGTCCGCAGAAACAATCAGATTCCAAACTCTCCACTATGGCAAAGACCAAAGAGCTGTCCAAGGATGTCAGGGACAAGATTGTAGACCTACAGAAGGCTGGACTGGGCTACCAAACTATTGCCAAGCAGCTTGGTGAGAAGGTGACAACAGTTGGTGCAATCATTCCCAAATGGAAGAAACAACAACTGTCAGTCTCCCTAGGCCTGGTACACCATGCAAGATCTCACCACGTGGAGTGTCAATGACCATAACAGTGAGGAATCATCCCAGAACTACATGTGAGGATCTTGTCAATGATCTCCAGGCAGCTGGGAACCACAGTCACCAAGAAAAACAATTGGTAACACACTGCACTGACAAGGATTGAAATCCTGCAGTGCCCACAAGGTCCCTCTGCTCAAGAAAGCACATGTCCAGGCCGTCTGAAGTTTGCCACTGAACATCTGAATGATGCAGAGGAGGACTGGTTGAAAGTGTTGTGGTCAGATGAGACCAAAATCGAGCGCTTTGGCATCAACTCGCCGTGTTTGGAGGAGGAGGAATGTTGCCTATTACCCCAAGAATACCATCCCAACTGTCAAACATGGTGGTGGAAGCATTCTGCTTTGTGAGTGTTTTTCTGCTAAGAGGACAGGACAACAAAACTGCACCGCATCAAAAGGACGATGGACGTGGCAATGTACCATCAAATCTTGGTTGAGAACCTTCTTTCCTCAGCCAGGGCATTGAAAATGGGTCGTGGATGGGTGTTCCAGCATGACAATGACCCAAAGCACATGGCCAAGGCAACAAAGGAGTGGCTCAAGAAGAAGCACATTAAGGTCCTGGAGTGGTCTAGCCAATCTCCACACCTTAATCCGTTTGAAAATCTGTGGAGGGAGCTGAAAGTTCGAGTTGCCAAACATCAGCCACCAAACCTTAATGACTTGGAGAGGATCTGCCAAGAGGAGTGGACCAAAATTCCTCCTGAGATGTGTGCAAACCTGGTGGCCAAGTACAGGAAAACGTCTGACCTCTGTGATTGCCAGCAAGGGATTTGCCACCAAGTACTAAGTCATGTTTTGTGAAGGGGATCAAATATTTATTTCCCTCATGAACATGCAAATCAGTGCATAATTTGTTAGACATGCATTTCTTTTGAATTTGTTGTTGCTATTCTGTCTCTGTGTTACAATACACCTACCATTCGATTTTTAGACTGATCACTTCTTTGTGAGTGGCAAATATTCAAAATCAGCAGGGGATCAAATATTTATTTACTTCACTGTATTTACAAAACTATAACAGAAACTAAGAATGAAGGAGAATGAATGAGTTTGCTATCACTTTAAATACAAGCATCTGACTTTGATTTGGTAGTGATCTGTTATTGTGCAGTAGGGCTCATAGAGGAGGAGAAGGAAGCCGCACAATTTGCCAGTCTGTTGTGCTGCAGTGCAAGGGCATGCTGATGGGAGGAGAGAGCAGAGAGATGAGTGGTTTCTTCTTTCACTCTCCAGTCGGGGGGTACAAGTTCCCCATATTGTTATAGTAATGCACAATGCCTCATGCGCACTGAACGTTTTTACAGCTGCTCCTAAACTCCCCTGCATGTTATCCTGTGTTCATGCACACATAGGATTTTAGCAGTGTTTGGTGGCAGAAATAAAACACTGACAGGGCATTGTGGAGCAGTGGCGTTTTGGCTGAAAAAATGCTTGACGTGCTTAAATTGGGTATACACACCTAAATTCCAGGCGTGTTTAGAAATTAAGCGTTGTCATTTATTTCAATGGCCAAAATAAATGATTTATTCTGGCCAATGACTTTAACACCCAAACACTTGATGCGGGTAAACACAGTACACACTTTTACACTTTTTTGGCAAAATGCTGCTGGCTTCTAGGGGAGTTAAAATTAAATGTCAGTATGCATGAGGCCTAAAGCTGAACTCCGGGAAAAATGGGGCATGCACTCTATTTGGCAGTGTCTGTCAACTGCTGTGTTGGGGTTCCATTCAGAATGATCAGCACTGCATCACACCAGTGCACAAGCACACTATGAATGGGCCTTTATTGAACCGCAGCAGAGAAATATCTGGTATTTCATCCACGTATTTAGCTGTTCAACTTTGACGGAGAATTCAATGAATACTTTTCAAAATGGGAAGCGGGAGGTATGTGTAATGTTTGTTATGCTACACTTCTCACTCGTAAGCACTGGAGGTCACAAGATACTTGAAGGCTACAGTGTAGAAAGCACATACAGTATTTCTAGACCAGAAATTGGGTTGGCATAAGGAGCTCTGTAAAACTGAGTTTGCTTTTCACAATTGCAGATCTGGAGTCCTGTGGGATTTGACGGGGTTGGGGGGATTCAGATAAACCCATGCATGGCAGCTTCGGATCACCTCTGATTATGTGGATGCAGTACAACATATAAGAAACTGGTTACTGCTCCTGGCACTGATACTAAATGAAACGCGTATACGAAGCAGATGCCTTCCCGGTTGTTTCAGTCCTTGTCTGCAGGTAGGGTGCATACACAGACAAGATGACAATGTTGTAACATTCATATAGGCCTGAACCAGTGGTGACCTTTTTGTGATTTATATGAATCACTACCACCTTGTGCTTTCACTTTGCACATTGAACATTCACTCTTTCGTAAATTAACCCCAGTGGCACTGATATCCTGATGCTTTTTGAAATACAGACTCCAGAACTTTCCATTAGATTTGCACCAGAAATGAGTAGATGTGATTTGTGTAAGGCCCCATTTCACGTTTGGGAATGGGGCCACTTGCAATTAGCTGAAGGGGTTCCCTTCGACTAGCTGAGAGCAGGAATCCCCAATGAAAGCAATAGGATGCTGACTTCTGCAGCTATTCATTATCCATCACTTAAGCAGCGATTACCTGCAAATGGTCAGCCCTGGGTGCAGGCAGTTCTGGGATGCTAAATTTCACAAAAGTCGGCTCTTCTCCTCTGTTATGCTTGGTTGAGTTGCTGGCACTGGTCCTGACGCATGTATAGGTGGCACAGGTGCTAAATCAATGTGGAATGGTAGAGACATGCTGATCTGCATATTAACCCATGGGAGCTAGAATGTCATAAATGTTTAATAAATGCATCAATTTATGCAGCGCTTTACATGTATATTTTGCACATTCACATCAGTATATTGAAGTTCTTCAAGCGTTTAACACATTTTCTTCTCTAGGGAGACAGAAGGAGTCCCAAGCACAGCTATTCGAGAAATTTCTCTCCTCAAAGAACTTAATCATCCTAACATAGTCAAGTAAGTAAGCCTTGTAATTCTAGGAACATCTCTTGTTTTTTTATTTAACTGCTTCCACGCTGCCCTATAGCAGAAATACTGCTAAAGGGTGGCATGGGTGCACAAAATCACGTATATATACATGTGATTTTGCAGTTCCAGGTAGGAGGCTCACGCACCCTACCTACGTCACCATTAGCGGCCTTGGCTGTCGATCATCGGGTCCTAGCTGGTGATTTCTCTCCGGCACCCGATCATCGCTGAGTATCTCCGACAGGGGAGAGACCTGTGTATAAACAACACAGATCTCTCCACTGTCAGCTCATGCACAGTGCTTTGTATGGCTCTGCATAGCACAGCCATACAAAGCAGTGTGCTTACAGTGAAACACAGCCTCTTAGTAGAACAGCACAATGTTAACCCTTTGATTGCCCCACATGTTAACCCCTTCCTGCCTAGTGCCATTGGTACAGTGTCAGTGCTTTTTATTAGCACCGATCACTGTTTTTGTGTCACTGGGGATGTCAGTGACAGTCAGTTCCCCCCAGTGTCAGAATGCCCACCGCAGTCCCGCTATAAGTCTCTGATTACCGCCATTACTAGTAAAAAAAAAAAAAAAAAAAAATCCCCCCCAAAAAAACATATTTGTAAACGCTATAACTTTCACGTAAACCAATTAATTTACACGTATTGGGATTTTGTTTAGCAAAGACATGTACCAGAATACATTTGGGCATAAATTTATGATAAAATTAGATTTTTAAAACTTTTTTACAGGTTATGTTTAATAGCAAAAAGTCGAAAAAATATATATTTTTCTTTTTCTCAAAATTGTTGTTCTTTTTTTTTGTTTATAGTGAATAAAAACGCAGAGACAATCAAATACCACCAAAAGAAAGCTCTATTTGTGGGAAAAAAGATGTACATTTCATTTGGGGGCAAAATAAAAACTGAATTCTTTTTACCTGCAATCTGTAGAAGGGTGCTTGGCATGCTTTCCTGATGCTTGCTCAATGTCTGTTTAACATTAACAAATGTGTGAAGCCTTATTGGGTTGATCATCTTATTGTACACCAACACTCAAGGACAGTGCTTGCTTTGAGCCGTATGAATTTTACCAACGTAATCTAGCCGTTGTTTGCCTCTGTTTTTATTGCTTAGCCAGTTGGCCCTTTTCGCTAGACAGCTTTTGAATGTTAGACACAATGCTACTCAAAGTCTTGCAAGTGTTGGATCTTATTCTATATCTTCTAAGTGCACAGGTCCTTTCAACAATAGGCATCATTTGTAGTATTTTACACATTTCTGATTGTAAGGGTGAGTGTATGTGTTAGTAATGTTTAATTGTCTGAGTCATAACCTGTTTACACAAGTGGTGCCCTCTGAAGAGCAATCCATGGTGTATCACTCTTCAGAATGCATTGGAGGAGTTGAGGAGTCAACATATTTCGACTCCTAAAAAGCTGCGCCACATGCATTGCACATGGGTGCTGGGAAGCATTTAGCAGGTGGTAAACCCGTCAGCTGCTTTTGCTGCTTAAAGGGGAGGGGTTGGGGGGTACATTTTTACCTCTCCAAACCACAATTGTAAATAGGGCCTTACTGACCAAGCGCAAACATGTTTGCTTTTTGTAAGGCTTTGATCCAGTATGGCCACACAACAAGCATTTAGTTTAGCATTTGCTGCCACCAGACTTCGCTCCTTACATTACCGGTGGCTGTAAGGAGAGAAGGAGAAACCTTTCCAGTTTACAAAGCAGCACTGAATGCCTGGCACAGATGAAATACCTTACCAGCTCTAGAATTTTGTGGTAAGGGGATGGTATTTGACTGCACCAGTAACAGATAAAATGCTGTAACCAGATAACTGGAAAGTTAACGTGATATTAAAGTAAAAAAAAGTCTTTTTTTTTTTTTTTTTTAAATAGACCTGCCATACTTACCTGATGTGTGCAATGGCTTTGCACAGAATAGCCCCGATCCTCCTCTTCTCCTCCACTGGTGCTACTGGCCCCTCCCTCCTGCCGATTGCCCCCACAGCAAGCAGCTTTCTATGGAGGCACGCAAGCAGGCTCACTCTTGAGCTAATGCTCTGTGTGTTCATTCACACACACAGCCGTGGCTCGGCCCTATCCCCCTCTCATCATTTGCTCATTGGCTGTGATTGACAGTAGTGGGAGCCAGTGAGGAAAGAGTACATGGAGAGCTGAGACTCATGCACATCGCTGGATCTCAGTGGGGCTCAGGTAACTATTTGTTGAGGCTGCTGAACACAGAAGGCTTTTTTACCTTCATGCATAGAATGCATGAAGGTAAAAAAACCTTCTGCCTTTACAACCACTTTGTGTTAAACATTCTAGGGGTATTTTGCTTAGCAAACTTCTATTGGAATTCAGTAATAGCTGCTTGCTGACATTGTACAAATTTCACAGTACAGTTCTTTTCTTTGTTTTTATGTAAGCTAGTCCCCTATGTATTTCCCGTTTTAATCTGCTCTTGAACCTGGTATTTAAAGCGCCAAACAAGTGAGCTAAACGTGTTTTTTTTCTGAACCTTTAAGCCATTAGTACGAGATGATAGCAGATAGAACACCTGGCACATTAAGTGTAGTTAGTCTTTCTCTGTTTGACTTTATTTATATGATTTTTAGGCTACTGGATGTAATTCACACAGAAAATAAACTATACCTCGTATTTGAGTTTCTCAACCAAGATCTGAAGAAGTTCATGGACGGCTCCACTATTACAGGAATCCCACTGGCTCTTGTTAAAGTGAGTTTCTTCTACTAAAACTAAAGACAATGTGGTTTATGGTCGTACACATTCATAAAGTGGTTGTAAACCTCCGACATGAAATATGAACACGCATGTCCCTCTATAGTGTGTACTTGTCTTAATTAAAAGCACAAAGTGTCATTTCTGTCGGCTGTTTTTTTCCCCCTGCTATCAGCATGAATCACTTCTGACAAGTTTTCCTGACACCAGAAGAAAAATGGTGACGGGGACCTCCAGCGGAATGACAACCTCAGCTTCTTTCTTGTATGCTGTGTGGAGGAGAGGGGGGTGTCTCTTCCCTCCAATTAGCTTTCAGAGCTCTCCTCACTGAACTTTGCATTGTGTAATTTCAGCCCCCTCCCCCCCCCCCCCCCCCTTTTTTTTTTTTTTTTTTTTTCTAAACTTTCAGACAAGCTTTATGAATGGCTGTAGAGAAGACTGCAGAAAGACAGTTATATGTAGAAGGATTTATTTAATCTCTGTGTATCACAGGCCGGTCATTTCACTGGGTATATGTAAGGGTTTACAACCACTTTAACTGTTCTTTCTTTTCACAACATTTTCTTATTCAAAATTTTGTTTCTGTTGCTCAAATTGGATTGTAGATTTAGAACAGTCAACTTCAATTTTATATGAAAGGAACTCTAAAGATCATATACAGCTATTGTGTGTTTGTGTGTGTTACACACTCGTGAGTTAATAAATCATACTCAAAAGATGTGACAAAATGTAGTTTTGTGTGAGTGGGCTGAAAGTGGTTCTAATGCCTTAAGGTCTTCACATCAATGCATTCTCTGCATTTAAGGTAAAAAACCTTCTGTGCTTCAGCATCCCCACCTCATCCCCGTTATACTTACTTGAGCCAGTTCTTGATCCAGCACTGTGCACAAGAGCAGCAGCTCTCTCCCTGTTCGCAGGGCAGATTGATAGCAGTGGGTGCCATTGGATGCAGGCAATGGGGCTCAGGAGTGAGGCCACACAAGCAGCTTGCTAGGTGGGTTACTCGGAAGGGGGAGGAGCCATGAGCTTTTAGGTAAGTTTGTCATAAAGCGGTGCATACTAGCACATTATGACATTACCCAGTAGGTGGACTAATTTGTGGACCAATTTTTGTGTGTGTTGTGTGTTTTTTTTTTTTTTTTTTTTTTTTTTTTTTTTTACTACTGCTAAAATAAAATTGTACTTTGAAGGAAGAGCCTAATCCTATAAGCTTCACTCTATAGGACAACTCATACTTCAGATGATGGCTTTCATTTTGTAAAAAAAAAAAAAAAAAACCTGGTTAAGGGGTGTAGAAATTAAAAAAAAAAAAAAACTTCTTGTCCAAGGGACCAAATCAGGGTCCCAATGTACTTGTCCCTCATGACAATCTACTTGTCCTGATTATAAAAAAAAAAACAAACCTATCCCAAACCGTATTTAAATAAGGTGTTTATTAATGGCAAGAAGGGTTGATGTTTTTTATTAGGCAGAGGTGCTTTTAAGAATCTCTGCGGTTTTTAAAAAATTAAAGGGGGGCATGGCCTGATGCCGGACCGAGCGGCAGCTTAACCCGACGGATCCGTCTTTCTCTGTATCCTTCAGACATCCTGTGTTGCATTCTCACTCTGAACACTTCGATTTTGTTCCTCCTGACGGCGGGCACCACACTGTACCACCATCATGGTTAAAACCAGGTAAGCGAAGGTGCCATCGACAACGAAAAAGCTGGCCCGCTTTCACTGGCAAGATGGCGCCGGCTCCATGCACGCTGTCCCTTCCACGCTGCCCTGCTCTCTCCCAGCTTGCTCCTGCTGGATCGGTGAGTGCTTCTTCCCCTGAACTCTCTGCTCTGCCTGCAGCCCTCTCCCCTCCTGCTTCCCATATTGAGGGGCATACTGTTCAGCAACCATCTGAACTTACATTATATCAAATTATGCAGGCCATACATGACTGCAAGAGCTCCTTGACTAAACGACTAGAGACCATCCATGTTGGATTTACTTTGTTAAAACAAGATGTACAAAATGTTCGGGAGAGAGCAGTGGTGGCTGAAGACCTCATCAGTTCCCTAGAAGATACTCTTCATCCTTTTGACCGCCTCAGTGCATTCAGCTACTGATGAAATGGAGGCACTCAAGATCAAACTGGATGATTTGGAAAATTTGTGGGATTTCCTAAATGCTCACAGGTCTTATCTCCTGAACAGTTTTTCTTCCAGCCCCTTTGGGGCTGAAACGTTACCCTCCAATTTGTGATTGAATGGGCCCATCGTACACCACCGCACCTACCTCCTTCTGGCTCCCCTCCTTGCTCCATGATTGCAAGAATCCTCAATTTTCAAGATAAAGTTCTTATCCTCCATAGTGCCAGGGAGAAGGTGACACTTGGGTATAATGGAGCTACCATTTCTATTTATCTAGACTTTTCTGCAGATGTACAACGTCAACGCGCTTCTTATGCCACTGTTAAACTACTCCTCCGGTCTCATAACCTGCAATATGCTATGCTCTTTCTAGCCAAGTTACGCATTATTCATGACAGGAAAGCTCATTATTATAATACTCCAAAAGGAGGTGATGTCTTGGCTGGATGACCGATTTAGGCTGGAACCCAGGCATGGGCGACGTTGACCCTATCAGACTCTCCTGTGCTCATACTCCTTCAGCTTTTTTTGGAACGATCTTTGCACTGCCTCAGTTGTAAGGGTGGATCCTGGTGCCTCTGACTCCCACTGAATTCCTTTTGTATTAACAGACTGCCCACTTTTGTCTTTTTGATCCTGCCTCAGGGATTCTCTCTACCCTTTTTTAGAGGATTTGACTTCTACTGTAAAGAGCCATCCATATTTCAGCATACCTTCCGACCAGTTGATGTTCAAGAGTTCATGGGATTTAAGCTCTCTAAGTTGGGGATGGAAGAGCAGGGTGGGCAGGCAGGGGTTTTTGGAAGTTGGGAACGAGCAATTTTTGCTTGTTTTCTTTTGTTAGTCTCACATGTCTTTTCTCCAGTTTTACGGTCTGGCTGTATGGATGTACTGTATGCTGCGTGGTTATCCTGTGATTATGTTTGATGTTTCTACTGATTTTTTTTTGTCTGTAGCACTGAGGGTCCTTTCATGGAATACTAGAGGGTTGAACTCACCCCAGAAGCGGTCACTGGTGCTCTCTTTTCTAAAACAAATATAGACCACATATTGTATGTCTCCAGGAAACCCATTTAATTGGTGCCAAAATTCTGGCTCTTAAGCATCATTGGATAGCTAGGTCCTTCCACTCTACCTATACCTCGTACTCCAGTGGGGTTTCTGTGCTGCTGGCTAAATCTCTCCCATCCGATATTATACAGGTAAAACTAGATCTAGATGGGAGATTTGTTGTCCTTACCATTCAGATTGCCTCTTATATGTTTACATTAGTCAATGTTTTATATTCCACCTCCGTTCTCTCCGGATCTCCTAACTAAATTGTCCCTTATGACTTTATATCTTCCTAATGGTCCCTTACTCTGTTGGAGATTTCAGTGCAGTCTTAGATCCTGCTGTTGACCGCTTGGGGGGGGTGGTGGTAAAATATATCAGTCGCTCCTGGATTGGGTGCAGGTATACGATCTTACTGAAATATGGCGGTGGAAACACCCTGATGCTCGTCAATACTCCTGCCACTCTGATTCCTTTAATACTATGTCACGTCTTGATATGGCCTTTTGCTTCTGTAACCATGCTTCCTGTGATCTCAGCAGTTGACTATTTACCTAGGGGTATTTCGGATCATGCCCCTCTCTCCGTGGACCTCCTCCTGCTTCCGCACACTGGCTCTGCACTGTGGCATTTGAATCCGCAGTGGTTTAAGGACGGTATGGTACAAGGAGAGTGTACTCAAGGTATTGCTTATTATTGGAATACTAGAGGGTTGTAATTTGGGCACTGTTGACCCCTCCACGGAGTGGGAGGCATTTAAAACTACCCTCCGTAGAACCTTTGTCTATTACTGGTATGTTACGTAAAAATGCTCATGTGGCCACAGAGGAACTGGAGTCCGTCATGATGATGGCTGAAAGTAATTATACTGCTAACCCTGGTCCCCTTACTAGAGCGGAATGGCTGTTGAAACGTAGAAACTATGAACTCCGCTTGTTAGACCTTACTAAAAAAAAACAAATGCTGTATACTGCCCAAAAAACTTTTGAACATGGTAACAAGGCTGGCCACCTACTGGCCTATTTAACTAGGTCTGAAAATGCCCCTACTTCTATTTCTTGGATATGTTTACCTTCTGGACAGTTAGGTACTGCACCCCTGGCAGTTGTGGATACCTTTCTGTCATAGTACACTGATCTCTATGCTACTACGGCCCACTATTCCACAAATCAGTTATTTGACTATTTGGCACGGATTACCCTCCCCTCCTTGTCCCCAAGTGTGTGAGGGGATCTGGAGGTACCTATCTCAGTTGAGGAGATAGACCTGGCTATTTCACAATTATCAGCTCATAAGACCCCAAGCCTTGATGGCTTTCCAGCTGAGTGATATGCATGTTTCAAATCGCTGATTAGTCCATTCCTTCTTCGGACATTTAATAAAGCCCTAGAGACAGGTGTCTTGCCTCCCTCTATGTGAGAGGCATTGATTGTACTTTTTTTGAAACCTCCTAAAGATCCTCTCAAATGTGACTCCTATAGGCCGATTTCCCTCATTAAGTGTCCTTGCATGGCAAGAGCATTTATTGTTTTCTCACATATATATTCTTATTCTAGCCAATTTTACCACCCTAACTCCTCCCACAGTTTTTACACTACATAGACAAGTAATATACCGAAACGTGCGGATTGTTCCCGATTGGTGTGCTATTACTTTGTGGAACGTTTTGCCGAATGGTTCACAAAATATCACCGTTTTTGTGGTGAAATTTGTCCCATAGGAATGAATGGCGCAACTAGAGTGAGAACTGACAAAGCTAGAGTGTGGAAGGAAAAATCAGAACATGATGTCTAAACTGCCATCACTCTGTCATTTTCAA